GGGAGACGTGTCTCGGCCGTTCGCTCTTAAAGGGGCCGGCGCTCTACCTCGCGGAGCCACCCGTCCCTGAAAGTCTGGAGGTTGAGAGTGAAGCTTGGGATTCAGGCGCATCCTCTGCGCTGTGGCGTGGGCCGCAGACGCCGAAGAACAGGGCAGTGGCCCAAGACCCCCCGCCTCAGGTGGCCGCGGCGGCTGCGGCGAAGCTTCTCCCAAGGGCCCCTCCGCGTTGCCGCGCGGGGTGATCGCGGCGCACCCCCTCGGCCTGGAGGCCGGCGATACCCCGCGCTTCCCCTCCGCAGCCCCGCCGGAGTCGACCGTCCGCACCCCACGGAAGCCCTGGCTGCGTCGCACCCCGGGGTGCCCCGCCTGCGCTGGGGGACCAGTCGTCGCCTTCTTTTCCGTGGGAAAGACGGCCTGCGGGCCGCGCCCTGGAGCCTCCTGCCCGCCGCGTCCGGGCTGCAGGAAGGCTCGCGCTGGCTGTGTCTGGCTACAGTACAGTCTCCCACGCTTGCGGACACGGAGGGGTCTCCTCCGCCGAACGGGGGACCCCAGGTGTCTGCTCGCTCAGCCAGGCGGAACTGCCCTCGCCTCCGTCGGCGCCTCGGTCCCCAGAAGCTAGAGGCAGCCTGGGGGGACCTTGGCCCGGCGCGTGGTTCCCTCTGAGAAGCGGAGCTAAAAGTAGCAACTCGCCCTCTAAATGAAGGACCCTATTTTTAGGACCGCTGCATCGAGCACCGAGGCCGGTGTGTCCGTAAGAGACGGTTTTAAGGCTAAGCCATCTCTTACGTAGACTTCCTACTTACCGGCGGAATCATTCCCATCCGACTCTGCCTTCTAACTCGAGCCTGCAGTGCAGCAGCTCGAAAAGGGGCAGAAACGTCTTCCTAAACAGATCCCCCAAGAGACCTCCATAGATGAACAGAATCTTGAATCCTCAGGACATGTTCCTCATGTTAAACTCCTGTGGCAACGAACTGTTTGTTTATGCCATAAAAAATCCAAAACTGGTCCAAGTTCACAGCCAGTGATTTTTCAGAACCCAAACGCGGCCTAGTTTTTCAGAGCTCAAATTCCTCTCTCTCCTTTGCCACATCAGCTTAAGGAGTTTCAGGAGCTGCCAGGATCAGATAGCAGCCAAAACTGCTTAATAATTCTCCGTTTTCAAGGTATGAAGTGTTACACAACCTTAATACGTATGGGACACTGGGTATTGAAATGACACGAGGTGATTGGTTGATTAAAATCAAAACAGAAGCATAAAACTTTTATCTTTAAAATTTCAAAGCCTCTTAAAACAATGGATGCCTCATTTAGAAACTTGTATTACTCAATAAACATTCTTCAGTGTGTCTGAACATTTTCAGGAGACTCCAGAGTCATTTTCTGCTTTTAGGATTTGTTTAAAAAAAAAAAAATCCCTTTGCCTCCACAAGTCAGTCTGTGCCCATATCCAATTTTCAATAGTTACCATTCCAAATATTAAAAACGTAGATTAGGTACAGAACGAATGAAATGGGAAAAGAAGAAAAATCTAAATTTTACCCATAACAAACACAGTAAAGCTTAACAAACTCAGTGCAAAATTCCACGCCTAATTTTTTTCACAGGATTAATAGTCATATAGAAACTTACCTCTTTCTTCAGATCTTTCAATTCCATTTCTGAAAAAGTTCATGTTAAAATTCCTCACATGTGAATAAATTTCTACTAAGCACCTCATATCCTTGAGAGAGACTTCAGATTCAAGTACATCCTGCACTCCTGTTTCCACACTGACTGTGATCCTGTTTTGACACTTATAAGGGCTGCTGCAGGTGGAGCTGTGACTACCAACCCTCAATCTGATTTCATGGACCACACTTCTTATTAACTACACAGACACACACACACACACACACACACACACACACACACACACACACACACACACACGCATATTCATGTTTTCTTAAATATACATATGACTACCTCTTGAAATCTACAATTTTAAAGAAAAACCCTGAATTTGATAACTGATAAAAACTAAATTAGGACCTGCTTTGAAGCAAATGAACAAATGCTGTTAGTGTTTGTGACCGCTGCTAGAAAATATCCAAGAACATTGGAAACATGCTAACTAGTAAACTTTGTTCAAAACCTAGAAACTGATTTCCTTATGAAGGAAGGGTCCCAACACTGTAACTAAGTACTAGTTACTCCCATTTAATAAAAGAGGCAATGTCACAGGCTTTAAGAGCGTATCCTTTGGCAGAAAACCAAAGGATAGTGATGCAAGAGTTGTTCTCATAACATATTGAATTAGGAACTACTTGTTGCATGTATATTCCATGAATAAATTAAAAATACAAGTGTTAGAACTTCTCAATTGTAAAATAAAGTAGATGAAAAGTAGCGCTGATTCCTATTACTTGAACAATGTAAAGAAAGTATATTCTATACAAAATCTACCTGAAGCTACCTGTGAATTGAAACAATTAGCTGAAACATTTAGGCAAAAAGAAAGGGAAACTCTTTCACCTAAATATAACTGGAAAATTGCTCAAATTTTCCATGTACTGCAACTATTCAAATCTATATTACGGTTGATTAAGAGAAGCACTCAGGTTGTTAGAATTCTAAATCAGGCAGGAACTCTTCTGAGCATTTAGTCCAAAGATTATGAACTTAAAAGCCCTGTAGGGGCCAAGCAGTTGAAAAAAATGTAGGGAATTGAAGAGACCATGTCTATGTAAGCAAACACTATTCGGCTTGAATTTCTTCTTACCATAAGAATGTTAGCTATATATTACAGTCTTCTAATTTTTTTTTTTGAGTTGGAGTCTCACTCCGTCACCCAGGCTGGAACGTAGTGGCACGTTCACAGCCACCCCAGCATCGACCTGCCGGGCTCGGCGATCCTTCCGCCTCAGCCTTCCAAGTAGCTGGAACTACAGGTGCACTACCACACCTGGCTAATTTTTTTATTTATTGTAGAAATGAGGTCTCCCCAAGTTGCCCGGGCTGGTCTTGAACCATGGACTCAGGCAATCCACTCGCCTCAGCCTCCCAAAGGGCTGGGATTTCAGGCTGAGCCACCGAGCCCGGCCATATGTATGTTATTAAAACAATTTTCACAAAACCTTAGTGGTGCTACTATCTAACTGGTTACTCTAGCTAGAAACCTGGTAACACTAATCTTCATTTTTAAAAAAATTTTCCTTGCTGCATTTATTCAGTCATTAAATTCAGCGATTCCATCTACAAAAGATTGAACCAATTTTTCCTTACAATCATGTTAACAACCACCATCAGATGTTAGGCTAGAGATTTTAAAATGTGGCTAGTGGACCAAATCTTACTCATAGAATGTTTTGTCTGAGTTGCAGTATTTTTTTTTTTAACTTTGTATATTTGCCAGCATTAAAGATTGGGAGATTTCACACCAAAAAAAAATCTAAATGTTCAGCTTTTCTTGAAAATCAGATCATCTGACAAAAGCAGGTTGAGGGCAAGTAGTAGTTATATCCTTAAGACAAGGTGTACAATCTCCAGTTGGCTACAATTCTCACCTTTACCCATGCTTCACTCATTTTATTTGGGTTTGTGAACCCTGATTTAGACTTTCACCTTTTTTCTCTAGAACTACTGCAATAGTTTCTTGACTAGGTATCTTGCCTCTGGTCTTTATCCTTTCAATCCTTCCTTATTTGACAGTGTTGACAGATAGACTTTGTAAATGAATTTTTTTCATTTTATCCCCTCATAAAATTCTTCAGTACAGCCCCATCATCTGCAAAGTAGAGTCGAACTCTATTGTAACATGCAAAGCTATTCTTGATTTAGTCTCTACATATATCTTCAGCCTTACCCTATGTTCAGTCAAACTAAATGGCTTATAGTACTCCAAAAATGCCTTGTTTTTGGAGTACTCCCACTTCAGTACTTTTAATAATGCTTTCTCCTTAACTTAGAAAACTCATCCTTTCTTTGTTTGGTGAACTTCTGCTTTTCCTTCAAAATCAACTCAAATAGGATCTTCTCCAGGACACCCTCCCAAGTTCCTCATTCCCACTCCCTCCACCCAACACTTCTAATCAATCTACTAGGCAGCTCCTGTATATCAGTAGCATACTGTGGCCATTATAGTACTGCATTATTGCTTTTCTTATCTATGTCCTCCAATTAGAGTGAGTGCCTTGAAGACAACCACTGTTAAATTTCATCTTACAGGCCAGGTGTGGTGTAATTCCAGCACTTTGGGAGGCCAAGATAGGAAGATTACCTGAGCCCAGGAATTTCACACCAACCTAGGCAACATAGCAGACCTCATCTCTATAAAAATTCAAAAAAAAAATATTAGCCAGGCGTGGTGGCATTTGCCTATAGTCCCACCTACTCCAGAGGCTGAAGTGAAAGGATGACTTGAGCCCAGGAGGTCAAGGCTGCAGTGAGCCATAAGCATGTTACTACACTCCAGCCTGGGTGACAAAGGGAGATTCTGACTCAAAAAAAAAAATTCATCTTACAATATATATGAGAAGATAGCCAGGCACAGTGGCTCATGCCTGTAATCCCAGCACTTTGAGAGGTGGAGGTGAGAGGAGCATGAGCCCAAGTGTTCAAGACCAGCCTGGGCAATATGGCAAGACTTCATCTCTACAATAAATTTTAAAAAATAGCTGGGCATGATGGTGCATGCCTGTAGTTTCAGCTTCTTGAAAGCCTGAGGTGACTGGATCACCTGAGCCCAGCAGGTCGAGGCTGCAGTGGCCATGAGCATGCCACTGCATTCCAACCTGGGTGATAAGAGTGAGAGACTCCAACTCAAAAAAAATTAAATTAAATTAAATTAAATTAATGAGAAGATAAAGGGACTTCTCAATTATTTCTATGATAGCAGTAGATTTTAAAAAAGGAATTAACATTTGTAAAAGGCCTCTTATGTGCCAAGTATTATAGCTGAATCATTTTGAAATATCTTATTTCATAATTTGATTTACATACAACAAATGAAAAAGTGAATAGAAAAGATATTAGTTGTTTTTGTACTCTCACTATACCATTTTGAGGTCATAGCTGTCATATGAATACTATTAATTTACTTAAGCCTCATTTTTAGTTCATTTCTTTATTTCTTTCATTTTTTAGAGGTGGGGTCTAGCTATATTACTCAGGCTGATCTCAAACTTCTGGACTTAAGGAGACTCCTGACATAGCCTCCCAAGTAGGTGGGACTATCAGTGTATGCCACCATACCCAGCTCTAGTTCATATTATTTCTGAGTTAACTTATTTAGTATAATTTTCCCTAATTGGAAAAAAAATATAGGTGGAGAGAAAAAAACATTGCGCAAGATCAACAAAGCTTAAGAAAAAGTATTTAAAAATCTTTAACAATATCCAATTTTCATATAGAGAGAAATCTTACATGTAACATTTCACAGAAAAAGAAATATAAACCTTATATAGGGAAGATATTTTGCAGCCACTCCTGTATTTAATAAAATAGGTAAAATTGTTGTAAAAGTTTTAAAAGACCAACTTACCCTTTCTGTAAGAATTACAATTGGTGAAAATGCAGAATTCATGAAATCATAAACATTAATTTGAAATAAATATTTCAGAATTTGAAACTTGGAAGCATCTTCTGTTGATTAATAAAGAAAAATATGTTAACACGTTATTTCATGTAACTTCTGAATTTAATTTCATCCTTAGTTGATGCATTAGAAAACAGAAAACCTGTTTCTTACCTTTTTGAGGAATATAATTTTGAGATGACAAAGAGTTATCAGTTGAAACCAGCTGACTACTTAGCAAGTTATTGTCCACAGATCTGTCCATATAGACCTGAGCAGACTCTTCAGTGTCTACTGATGGTCTTGATGTTTCATCATTATTTTTAGAAGATGAGGTTTTGAAATTTAATTCATCAATTCTCATAGATAATCCTATTTTAGAGACCATATCTACAAATAAATGAAGATACATTTATTTTTCAAATACTTGTTTTGTAGTGGGCTTTGTTTTCTAGGCAGGTCATTTTTTTGAACCTATGTGGTCATGTGGTCTTCATAAAACAACAAATACACTGAAACATTAATTATAGTCTATATCAGTTTTCATGTAATATTAGTTTCTATAATATTTCTGGTATAATTTATTATAATGAATTACCACAAATTTAGTGACTTAATACAAACTGCCTGGGTGTGGTGGCTCATGCCTGTAATCCCAGCATTTTAAGAGGCAGAGGCAAGGGGATTGCCTGAGTTCAGGGGTTCAAGACTAGCCTGGGGAACTTGGCAAGACCTTGTCTCTACAGTAAAAAAAAAAAAAAAAAATTAGCTGAGGCGTGGTGGCACACACCTTTTGTAGTTCTGGACATGATATTGTTTTGTTTTGCTATAGTCTCTCTTCTTTTCAATTATTGTCATCTGCTTTTTCACAAATATTATTTTAGGATCCAACAAGTTTAGAACAAGATCACTTTTTTTTAATTAGCCTTTGCCAAACTAAGTTCCCAACGTTTTTAGTCATAAAAAGCATCACACCTGCACCTTTCTAATTTGGAAAAGAGTTAGAATCTAAATATCTACATGCCAATTGAGGATGTCGATCAAATAGAGCTCATATTTTGAGAAAGAGTAAGACATTATAATTAGGTAATATAGTTCTGAAAATTCAGAAAAATCACCTGATTCTAATGAAAATGTGTTTTCTTCTCAGTTTGCAACCTTGTTGGCTTCTTCCTTTGAAAGGTTTTCTGTCACTCTAAGGCTTAATTGCTTTTGTATTATTAGTCAATATTTGCTGAGTTTCTATTCTGTCCATCATAGAAACATCAGGATGGAGAAGTGGAAAAGTCATATCACGTAATTCTTTAGCTAAATCCATGTGGTTTTAATAGTTGGAGTTACTAGACACCCGGACATCTAGATCTAAAAGAATCCTCTTAAACTCTGCTCTTTTCTTTTGCACTCTGATGAACTCTCAGAATTGAGAGACTTGAGGGAGAAATTAAAAACCTTTTGTCTTATTTTTGAGTTTCTTTATTACTTTAAAAAGTTAAAAAACAAAAACAAAAAAAACCCCTAGCCGGGCTCAGTGGCTCAGCCTGTAATCCCAGCGCTTTGGGAGGCTGAGGTGAGTGGATTGCCCAAGCCCGCGGGTTCGAGACCCACCTGGGCAACTTGGCAAGACCTCATCTCTACAATAAATCAAAAATTAACCGGGCGTGGTAGCGCACGCCTGTAGTTCCAGCTACTTGGAAAGCTGAGGCGGAAGGATCGCTGGAGCCCAGCAGGTCGAGGCTGCAGTGGCCAGGAGCGGCCACTGCACTCCTGTCTGGGTGACAGAGTGTGACTCCAACTCAAAAAAAACCAAAAACAAAAACCCTTATAATGGTTCTCCTTAGGAAAAACAAAACAAAGCAAAACTACAGATCTAGAATAAAATATAAAGTTCAAGACCATTTTGAATTATTGACGTTCCTCTTAGCCTAGGTTTAAAAAAAAAAAAATTCAAATATTATATTGGGAAGGTGTAAATGAGCTAAAGAGTGAATGTGGATGAATGAAAATCCTCATCTTCCAGAATAGGAAGTCAATAGACATCATCTAAAATAGATGAATCAAACCAGAACAATAGAAAAATTATATTTGCAAAACTAGAGATGAATACTAATATTTTGCTTTAAAAACAAAAAAAGAAAATTATTTTCTATGGACTAGAGATGGGAAAAAATAAATAAAAGGAAAAGAAATTGCTTTTGAAAAAAAGTCTTAATTTCTGTTTAAATTTTTAAATAGAAAGTATTATAATTTCGGGGAGACACCTCTTATCAACAAGGGTGCCTGAACGAAGCATATTTGTATACCTAACCCTTAACTGTACCCCACAATATCAAAATAAAAAATATTGATAATAAAAAATTAAGTATTATAATTTACATATAATACTTTGATAAAAATTAAAATTTATTGTAAATACCTTAAAATTTTCTTGGAACATCAATAGATCTTTAATCATTTTTCTCTTGTGATTTTATTTTATAATATTAAGATGTAAATTCAAAGTAAACCAGAAATTGATAAAAGAATAACTGTTATTGATTATTGAGTATTATGAAAAACAGGGATACTTGGACTTTTTCATTACTTACAAAAATAAAGTCTAGCCAGGCTCGGTGGCTCAGCCTGTAATCCCGCGCCTTTGGGAGGCTGAGGTGAGTGGATTGCCTGAGCCCGCGGGTTCAAGACCCGCCTGGGCAGTGAGACCTCATCTCTACAATAAATCAAAAAATCAGCCGGGCGTGATAGCGCATGCCTGTAAATCCAGCTACTTGGAAGGCTGAGGCGGAAGGATCGCCGGAGCCCAGCAGATCGAGGCTGCACTCCAGTCTGGGCGACTGAGTGAGACTCCAATTCAAAAAAATAAAATAAAATATAATAAAATAAATTCTATTTAAAAAGAAAATAAAGATATTTTATACCAACCTGACTCACTGTATCTGCTTTTCAACATCATAACTTTCATGTTATCTGTGGGATCATTTTCAGTTGAAAATTCTTCTGTTTCTTCATTTTCAATAACATTATTTTCATCCAGTATCTGTTTGGGAAATGGCAATTTTGTTTCCTTTGGAATATTCTGGAAGTTCCAAGGGTTGTCAAAATTATACAAAAACTTTTTCAAATATGGTAAAGTATCAGAATCATCTGCTTTCTCTAAGACTCGTTGCTTGTCTATTTGATCTTCTGCTTCCATAATTTGTACCATTTTTATTTCTTGTTCCTTTTCAGGGCCTAAATCATCCGCTGGAGGATGTTCGTGTTTATCTCCCTCACCACCATCTTCATTTTTTCTGTCATTTGATATAATTTTATCTTCATTGGCATATGCAAAGCCTAGCATACCAAAACCAAAATCAAACCAAGTTGGCTTAAGAATTGAGCTATCATTAGTGATTATGTCTTCTTTTTTTGTTAATATTTCTGTACATGGAACTGTGGCTTTTTCATCAGATAATATGGAATTTGGAACATCTTTTAGTGGCGGATTGCTTTCTTCAGACAATAATTCAAGCCCTGTATCCTCATCTCCAAAACCTAAATAACTTGTAAATCCACCACCAAACCAACCAGTGGGTTGAGGTTTGAGAATGTCTGACTCAGATGTTAGTTCAGACTGTTTCTTTGGCACTGAATCAAATTCTGACTCAGGTTCTTGCTTATGTTCTGTTCGGGGCTCGCCATTATTTAATTCCTCTTTGTAATTCTCATCTTCCACTGCTGATTTTCTGCTTTTAAATGACCTTTCTTGTGCAGGTTCAATAACTGGTTCAGAAACCTTGTCTACAGCTTGTTCTCTTCCCAATTCAAACCATCCTTTTACTTTAGGCACAGCTGAGGATGGTGGACCACGACCCACTTCTGGGATATGATCTCGTTCTACTCTTTCAGCTTCTACTTCTTCCCTGTCTTTTGATTCACTGGTACTACTGCTATCCTCTGGAGTCTCCAATGCTGGAAATTGGTCTTCAAACAAAGTACTTTCAGAAGTTGCAAAAAACCCAGGTTCTATCTGAAAATCACTTTCATATATGCCAGATATTTTATCTTGATCTTCTTCATATGGATATATATGTTCGCCATAATCGTTGTTTAACTCACTAGCTTCACTTTCAAATGTGTAGCTTACTCCAAGAAGACAAAGAAAGTCAGATTCCTAAAAGGAGAAAAAAATTATGACTGATGTAAATGTGTTAAAACTCCTTGTTTCTCCCTGAGTCATTCAAAATGAATGACTGTTATATTCCTAAGACCACACAACTAGCTCAACAGCGGAGCAAAATTAAAGTTAAATCTCCTAATCTCAAACAATTGCATCACAACTGACTTCTAGAGGTTAATAATATAGGGCATGGTGGCTCATGCCTGTAGTCTCAGCTATTTGAGGGCTGAGGGAGGAGAATCATTTGAGCCCAGAAGTTTGCACTATGATCACTCCACTGCACTTTAGTCTAGGTGACAGAGCAAGACCCCATTTCTAAATTAATTTTTAAAATAGAGGTTAATAATATAAACTTAAGTGAAAATAAAAATCATTTTGCATTATGGTCTGTTATTAATTATTGTTATTAAATAATTGAATGTTTTGACAAACAGACAATTAATGCTTTAAGTGTACTCTACAAACAAATTCTGATGAAAAGGCATGCATGTCCACAAAATCTTCTAATTCCAAGAGTATACTGAGTGGACACATGTATCTGTGAAGTAATTTGACATTTGAATGTGCCCCTTAAAAGCATGTGGTGAAAACCTAATCCCTAATGCAATGGTGTTGGGAGTGAGGCCTCATGAGCAATGATTAGACCATAAGGGCAGAGTAAATGGATTAATGCCATTATTTAGAGAGCAAGCTTATTATCACAGGTTTGGTTTCCTTATAAAAGGACCAGTTCAGCCCCCTTTTGCTCTCCCTCTCTCACCTTTCTCCTTCTAGCCTTCCACCATTGATGGTACAGCATGAAAGCCCTTGCCAGATGCTGGCACCTTGATACTGTACTTCCCACCTTTCAGAACCATGAGGTATAAATTTCTTTTCTGTAAATATCACCCAGTCTCTGGCATTCTGTTGTAGCAGCACAACATGGAGTAAGACAAACAGAATTTTCATAGCATATAGTTATAGCTCAGACAGAACAGAGACTCTAAAACCTGAAGACTTGGTTAAAAGGAGCACTAAACCACTTAGACTTTTTAAATGAAGATATTGCATATGACCAACGGACATGGGGATCTACTTCCTCATCTTACAGAACAACCAAATTATTAAGAATTAAAATGACAATTTTTTTTTAAGTTGGAGTCTCATTCTTGTCACCCAGGCTGGAGTGCAGTGGCACACTCACAGCCACCAAAGCCTCGGCCTGCTGGGCTTAGGCGATCCTACCGCCTCAGTCTTCCAAGTAGTTGGAACTATAGATGCACACCACCACACCTAGCTAGTTTTTGTGATATATTGTAGAGACAAGGTCTCACCAAGTTGTCCAGGCTGGTCTCAAACCCCTGGGACTCAGGCAATCCTCTCACCTCAGCCTCCCAAGGTGCTGGGATTACAGGCTGAACCACCATGCCCAGCCACAAATTTTTTTAATCTAAAGGTTAGAAATAGTAATATATGCTGCTCTTTGGATATTACCTTTATAAAATGAAAATAAAGTTTAGATTTTTAAACAGTAAACTTAAGAATTTCCATTTTATAGTATAGATTTGGCACTGCAAACTAGTAGGTAATTAAAAACAGACTCTGGAGCCAAACTTGTCAGTTCAACTCCTGACCCTCGCATCTGCTAGCTCTGTGACCTTGGTGAATTATATGACTTTTTATGCCTCGATCTCATCATCTGTAAGATTGGGACATTGGAGCTCAGAAAACAATACCTAAAATGAAGACCTCAGAAGCAAAAGTTTTTCTCTAAACTTCTCCTGATTTCATGTCTCTCAGTCCCACTTTTCCCTGAGGCTAGCCGTAGAAACTAGAATCCCTCTCCCCCATGGTGTATCATAAAAACAGAATCCCTTTTCCCCAGAAACAGCCATAAAAACCTAAAATTATTATTTGTTCTGTTATTATTATTATTAAAAAGAGAGACAGGATCTCACTATATTGCCCAGGCTGGTCAGGTGATCCTCCCTCCTCAGCCTCCCAAAGTACTGGGATTACAAACTTGAGCCTCTGCACCCAGCGATAAAACCTAAAATTATTACTCTATTTTTCCCTTGACTCTCTGTATGAAAACTGGCCATAAAGAAATTATGGACCTACCTTGTTTGACTATAAGTCATAAGATCTCCATTCCAGAGAGGGCCCTGCCCCATAACCAGAAGGAAGAAATTCATGCTCAGAGAGACCAAGAAAGCTTCTGGGTTTTCCCACTCAATCTAATAGCATTAGATCACATACTTTCTGTCCAATCATATTTCTATATGGCTATTCATACTTTGTTGAACCTAAACATAAAAATGGACAATTTTCCCTGTATCTTTGGGTCTTGATTCGAAGTTTCCTGTGTCATATAAAACTGTAATCAAGTATATTTGTATGCATAATATCTTACCAGTCTGCCTTTTGCCAGTTAATTCTGGGAAAACCTTCAGAGGAAACTTTCCCCCTTGACATGCTTAGGAATAATGTACTTTATAGGGTTACTGCAAGGGTTTGAGTCAAATGCTTAGATTAGTAACTGTGTCTAGTAAACAGGATCCTAGCCCAGCCCGAAGTTATACTACCTCAGATGCAGCCAGCAACATAGGGGAAAAAGCCCCAACCCTCTTTCCTCTGTCTATTCAGGACAACTCCAAAGGGCCAAACCACAGTTCAACTTCTCTGTCTGCTTTTTCTTTGGTTCCCTTACAGATGCTTTCCCCAAAAGTACTCCCCAGTCAACTTCTTGGATACAAAAATTCATCTCAGTGTCTGTTTCCCAGAGAACTTGACATAAGAATTTGTAGTATTTGTATGCTTACTATGTGCCTGGCACCGTGTTAGGTGCTGGGATCCTATGGTAAACAATAGAAAATAACTAATTGTTGGCAACCCCTTTGGGTCCCCTCCCAATGTGGGAGCTTTTCTGTCCTGTCAATAAATCCTACTTTTAAAAAAAAAGAAAAGAAAGAACTAATTGTTAAGTTGCAATGAATGCTATGGAGGAAATAAACAGGAAGTTATGATTAAGAAGCAATAATCCCTTTAGAATCACCATGAAAGGCCTCTTGGAGGCATTGATTTTTATTTTTAATTTGCAAACTCATCATACCTGTTTTTCACCTTTATTGACATATAATTGGTATACAAAACTTGCATATAATGAACATATATAATTTGGTGAGTTTGAACAAATGTACACATTTGCATCACCATTACCACAATTTAGGTAATAAATATATTCATTGCTTCCTAAAATTTCCTAGGAGGCTCTGATATTTAAGCTATGACCTAAAGGATAAGAAGGAACTAGTGAAGAACTTGGGGAAAGCATTCCAGCCAGATGAGCCCACTTGGGTTCCTGGGCTGGGAGAGAGGTTGGTGTGTTCTAAGAACAGTAAAAATGCCAGTTCTGCTGGGAGCATGGTGAGTGAGGGGAGAGTGGCACGAGTTAGGGCCTGCAAGGGGTGCAGAAGCAGATCGTGTGGACCTGTGAGGCCAGGGTGAGGAGTCCAGGCCTTATTCCAGGTCCGGTGAAAAGCTTTAACCAAAGTGAAAAGCTTTAACCAAAGGGATGACATAGTCTGATTTTTTGTTTTTACAAGATTGGTTGTTGTTTGAGGAATGGATTGGAAGAGGGCAAAAGTAGTGGCAAGAAGAACAGCTCGAAGACTATTGTATTCTAATCAAGGGATGGAGTCGGGTGCAATGGTGTGCACTTATAGTTTCAGCTACCCAGGAGGTTGAGGTGGGAGGATTGCTTGAGCCTAGGAGTAGGCTGCCCACTGTGATCCCACCACTGCACTACAGCCAGTGATGATACTGCCTTGGATTAGGGCTGTGGTGAGTGTAGCAATGAAGAGAGGACAATATATTCCAGATAAATTTTAGAGATGTAATTTGACAGGACCAAATGATTATACAGCAAATAGACAGCTAATCCCAGAGTTTGTGATGGAAAAGTGCCAGAAAATAGGCAGTTTGTTTAACTAGGCAGACTCAATTCACACTGACCTCATTTAAGGCAAATTGGCCTAACCTGGAATCTGAATTAAATTGGCTAATCAAGTTTATATGTTGAAAGGTCACCTTCTGATTCCATTTCTTATTATCAAGCCCAACATTATCAAGCTCATTAAAAACTCCAATAGAGATTGCACAGATTGGAGACCCAGGAAGTATGGTGGAAAATAAACTTTGGTCCTAGTAGGTCAATAGTACAAGTAATAATATCTAACACTTACACAGCACTTACTAAGCACTGTTCTATATTCTTTACATATATTCATGTATTCGTCAATAAACTTAAGGTAGCACTTTCTTATACTCAGCACCCTCACTTTATAGATAATGAAACTGAAGCATAACTGGCCACATAGCTAATAAGTTGTTTAGTTGGACTTTGAACTCAGTCCATCTCCAGAGTCCGTGCTCTTAAGCACTACATTCTACAGCCTATCTGTTAATTGTTTAGAAAGCAAAATCTTTGACTGTCATCAACTTTATCTTACTTAATTTTATTCCTAAAGTAAGTTCTCAGGTCAACTATTTTATGCATTCACAATACAAAGTACATAACCAATGGGCATTTATACTGAGGAAAACTGTGTTAATTGAAAGTTAAATTCAATTCATAACTGAGAACGAGTTTCGTTTACTCACTTTAGTTGGTATTTGAACTTCCTCAGAGATGAACACTTCTTCAATCTGGACTGCATCTCTGGGAAAATATCCAAAGTCCTTTCCTTTCTATCCAAATGAAAAACAAAGATTATCAAGGAAGAATGATCAAAGTAATAATAACTATTGAACCTAATTTTGCCCCATGCCCTTGACTTTTGTCTACTGCAAATCACAAATATTAATTGACTATCAATTTCCATTTAAAAGAAAGTGAGTGACATCATATTCTTTGGTTATTCAAAGAACAACATTAATTTAAGGGAACAAAGAGTCAAACTATAAAATGCCACAGTTGCAAACTTCAGAAGAAAAACCGTTCCACCTACTCATTTTCTTCCTTTTTCTGTTCTTTAATAACCTTCCTTGTCCAGGTGGACCACAGATTTTCATCAGTAGATCTAGGCTGTCTAAAGGCAAGGTAGTGGGGACAGCAGCCAAGCTAAAGGAAAGTATGATATTAATATATTTTGGTGTTTTTAGGATGTTAAAATCAGGTAAGAGGCTTAAACTCTGACGGGCCACAGATGGATTCATTAAGATAGTAAAGTCCATCAATCCTCCAGGGAGAATTTGGTTCCATTCCACTGTTCTGGGACTACCGTGGTAACAGAGATCTTCTTAACCCAGTTCAAGGACGTGCAGGCTGAAAGAGTGAAGGCGGCACAACCATTCTCAGCCCATTTTCTATCCCTGTTAAAGTTTAAAGAACTATTTATCTTGGTCTTCTGATCCAACACCATTATACCTCAACTATAATTCACCCAGCTCTCCAGTAGCTACAACTGTTTGGAAACTGACAGACTATGGATCCATAGGGTGATTCCTTAAACAGCTACTTGCATGGACTAAACACCAAATGCACAAAACTAAATGTGCCTGAAACTTTAACCTGGCTCCACACATTAAACACTGCTTTTGTGTGGAACGATTGTTTCACACCTGCTAAACAAGAAAAAATGCTTTCTAGGCTGGGTACAATGGCTCACACCTGTAATCTCAGCACTTTGGGAGGCCAGGGTGGAAGAACTACTTGAGCCTGGGAGTTCGAGACCAGCCTGGACAACGTAGCAAGACTTAGTCTTTAAAAAAAAAAAAAAAGTCTTTTTTTTTTTTTTTAATGACACCTACCGCATCATTTTTTTCTTACAGCTGCATTGGATGCTGCCAATGCATTCAAGATATAGATGGGTTGTTTGGTTTTTTTTTTAATAGAGAAAGGATCTCACTCTGTCACCCAGGCTGGTCTACAGTGACACAATTATACCTCACTGTAACCTCAAACTCCTGGAAGTGAACCTTCCTCTCCTGTCTCCAAAATGACCTCCGAATTCTAGTGCTAGAATTATAGGTATAAACCATACACCTGGCCTTAGACTGGCATTTTTAAAGTACCCTAAGCAGTAAGGAAAGTTGGTAGCTTCAGAGGCCAAACTATTCCAGTCAGTGACAATCAGAGTTCAGTCATATAATCCCAATGGTAGAAGCAGGATTTCAAATAGAATCTGCTCCTTCAAACAGTGACCACAAAGCTATACAAGGAGTGAGCTGATGCATATGTAACACAGAAATGATGTATGTATCATTATGGTCATGCTTGTTCAGGTTGGAAGCAAAATTACTTATCATAGCATCTTTTCATTATAAACCATAATGATGTAATCAAAGAAAGTTTTTTACAGTAGAAAACATTAATCATTAATTTTCCTATGTTATATATGCAGAGATGATTCAGGCCTCTAGGAATTTCTGTGTACTAGTACTTTGGGCCAAATAAAAGGTTCTCCCAGTTGTTATTCTTTTCCATGAAAAATTTGTATGCCTAGATTCCCTAGGCTACCAACTTGTCTGCGGATCTATTCAAAAACAACTCGTTTATTTGCTCAGAAAAATGTCTTTTAATCAAATTAACTAAAACATTGCAGTCTTTCCAAAAATTGACTAATGGTAGCACCAAGAGATAACTGGGGTTGCATAGCCATCTCATAATCTTCCTCAGCACTCCAAATAAATATAAGATCTAAGTTTAAAAACTAAGCATGCTATGTAAAAATAATTTAAAGGCATTCTCTTAGCCCTCTGTCCCAACCATACTGCCTTCCCAAAAGCCTCTTTTATAGAAATTTTGAAACCACCATTGAACATGACCAATTTTTTAAAAATACTGTAAGGGTTTTTAATATTTATATAATATTTTGAAATTGTTAAAATTCCTTTAAAGATGAAAAGCAGGTATCCTTATGCAAGTTGGTCATTTCTCCATTCCGTTTTTAAAACTAGATACTTACACTTCCTGCCCACAGATCTTCCCTTTCTCCTGCAAGTTTAACATAAACAGATATCTCTTCTCCCTTAGTGAAGTTCAGGTATCGGCAGTCAGGTCCTCCGTAATCTCTTACAGCTGAGACTCTGCTAATTAAAGCTGAGTAAATATGTAAAGAAAAACATACATACTTTAAATTAAAATGTTAGTTCTCCTCCTTTCATCTTGTCCTCCTCCGATCCATTCTGTTTAATTCCAAGTGCTTATTTCTTATTATTATTTTTGGCCTCAAAAACCTACATAGACTTCTTATTGCACACAGAATCAAGTCTAAGCTCTTGGGCCTGGTACCCATCCAAGGCTGTCCATAACTTGGGGCCCTTTCCCTACTTAAAAGGACCTCCTTCTATTCCTTTACACAAACTCAGGGCTACAGTCAAGTTTGTTTATCCATCGTCCCTGAGATACCTATAGGGTATCTCATCATCTTCTCCAACCTATAGGGAAGGAAAAGATCATCAGTTTTCTTCTTGACACCTACTAAATTTCAGGCATTGTAATAAGAGCTTTCATATTTTTATTTTATTAAATCATCAAAATAGATCTATGAGGTAGATAATTTCATCTCAGTCTAACAAATTAGGCTTTAGCTAAGGCTCAGAGAGTTGGTTACACAACTCTGACAGAGCCTGATTTTCAATGGCTTTTTCCACTGCTACATCCCCTTATTGTGTTTCTTTCTGCTCTTTCTAAAGCCTAGAAACCCTCTGCCTCTGTTTATGTTCAACTCATGCCCTACTTCCTTATGAGACATCCCTGATCATTCTAGCCTACTCTGACTGCCGCTTCTCTGAACTTCAGTATTACCTATTGTACTTACTACATTGTATCACTATTTACTGTTGCATATTGAGCTATTTCATCATCATTATTTATTAAAATAAAAATTCCTGGAAGGCAAGAAATTTATCCTACGTTTCATTTGATTCCTCTTAGGTACATAGCACCTACCCTCCAAATTCAGAATGTAGTAGCCCTCAATAACTATGAATGAATTATAGCCACATATGCTAGAGTCAGTCCTTCAACACACGAAAAAATAAACGCATTAACTGTTACAATTATACTAACATAAATAAAACATTTTATTAAGTCATGCAATTAGAGCTAAAATACATTATAAATTACTATAAATTTGAATGTTCCTGGCTTTTGTGTTCTGTGTCTGGCCCTAAGAATACTATAATGAAGTTGTAATGTAAAGAGGAAAATATTATTATAATCATAAAACATCATCTAGTAAACTTCTTTATATATTAAATTACATATCCATACTTCTCTATGCAAATTCACAGAAAAAAATAAAATAAAATAAATTGTATATCCAAAGGTTAAGGAAAATGTTTACTCTTAAAATTGTTACTTATAAAATATTTATGTTTTTATCAATAATATTTTGCATTTTTAATTTTCATGTTGCAAATTGGAAATAATTCTCGCATCCTAGAAAGACAGAATTTATTTAAAGTAACTCTAATATATATTTTTGTTTGTTCGTTTTAATTTTTATTTTAAAGATGTGGGATACAATTCAGGGTTAGGTACACAAATGTTCATTATGCAGGTACCCTTGTTGATGAGGTATGCCCCGCCTCCCCGGCAGTTTCCCTCAGCTGTTAATCCCACCCCCTCCCCTGACAGTTTTCCACCACTGTCAATCCCTTTCTTATAGTATTATGATAATTGTTCAAGGTCCACTTATGGTAACTCTAATATATTGAGTTGCAATTTATTTTGTACCACAATGTTAATAACAGAAAATAAATTAAGTTCTTAAACAATGGAATGAAAATTAATTTCTCTTAATAGTAGAAGGTTTTATATTCACTAAGTAAAATTTATGTCCTAATACTGATTTCAGTATTTCTACATAATCAAATGATTAACATTTGATACAGTTTAGGCAGAGTAAATGATGATAGTTTGAAATATAAACATTTTTTAGAAAACTCAGGAGAATTAGAAAGTTCTGATTGTGAAATAGAAACTAAAAAGTAGAACTTCATAAATAAAAAACTATCAAGTGATCTGATATCTTTTTTTATGAATCAATTACATTTATCTTTTAAAATAGTAAAAGGGATGATTAATTCATTTTTGAGGTATGGATTAATATCATTACAACTTCTGTTATATTTCTATATCAGGTTGATCTTTGCCCTTTGTATATTTATATTAAACGCTATCACAAAATGCTTTACTTTTAGCATTTTTTTATACCAAGTTTTACTTTATAATTCAAATATTTCTCAATAATATTAATGTTTTTGTCATGCATGTCCACGATAACATTTCATGTCATTTCAAAGTTTCAATTTAAGAGAAGAAGAAAAAAGCCAACTTACTTTCACATTCCAAGTCACCACATTTTTTAAGATCTGCCAGCAGTTTTGTACCCTCCAGACACTTTGTCAGAGTAAAAACCAAAAGAAGGATTCTGTGAACTCCAGTCTCCACCATGCTGAAAGAAGCAACCAGGAATCCCAAACAAGTATTAAACCAATTGTTCAAGTTCTAGATAAGCCAACCCAAACAGAAAATATCCTATTCTCTCCACTAAATATAAGAGAAAAAGTTTGGGGTTTTAAAGATCCTTTGATAACTACATTTTTCTATTGGTGTGTAGGCCTAACTTGAGGGACACTCTCTGTTCTCAGTCTGCAGTGTCAAGTATTCAGATAATACGTTAAGGTTTAATCATTAACAGGGATTTGTAGTCAGATTTATAAAGGAAACCCATGTAAAACTGTGTCACTTAAAGGTATCATGCGTTCATCAGACCAGTTCTTTGCTAGGCCTTCAAAAACAGGTAGTTAAGCTCTATTAAAATCTTCAGGTAAATCAGTCGGCAAGTACAAACTGAGTATTTGCCACATACAAATACCAGCTTTAAAGGAGAATGTTTCAAATTCCTGGTTCCAAGTATCCTCCATCTCAGTCTCCCAAAGTGCTGGGATTACAGGCATGAGCCACTGCACTCAGCCTTCAATGGAAAGTGTATATAGTTGTACATAGAAACAGTAATAACTTATGTTAGATGCATGGCTTTGAAATATCATGATAAAAATTATTTTTTTACATATTCCATTTTCATATTTTAAAACTCTTAGCCAGGCATGGTGACAAGTACCTGTAGTTCCAGCTACTTGGAAGGCTGAGGTGGAAGGATCACCTGAGTCCAGCAGGTTGAGGCTGCGGTGCCGTGAGTCTGCCACTGCACTCCAGCCTAGGTGACAGTGAGACTCCAACTAGAAAAAACCAAAAAAACAAAAACTCTGTATTGTTTTTATGAAGTTAAAAAGTATTGTATTTAGGTTAAAATGTAGTAAGTACTTACTATGTTCCAGGTATTGTTTTAAGTACTTAAATATATGATCTGATTTAACCCTCACACCAACTCTCTGAGGAAGATAACAATATCCTCCCTATTTTTGCGTATGAGGAAACTAAGAAATGGGTTAAAATCACTTATCCAACGTCACACAGTGAGTGAAGAAATTTAAACTTGGGCACCGTGACACTTCATACTTGTAGCCACTGAGTTTTATCGAGGATCAAGTCACTGCCATGGAAAGATGTCTACTTCATCTACAACAATACTACTCCAGAAACAGCAGGTAGAGTATTACTCCACCTATTTAAAATTATATGTGTATTTCTATAAGAGGAAATAGAATTGGAGAAAGATATCTGAAAAAAAGCTCCCCCATATGGTGAGAGTATATTGTGTGATTTCAAGTGATATTCACTTTCTTTGTGGTCTTCTATATAGTTTTGCTTTCTTTTTTAAAATCAGTGAGCATATATCATTTTAAAATAAAATAAAGCTATGAAAATCCAATCATTTGAACATTACTGTCACTCAAAAGGATCAGAGTCTCATATTAGGAATTTTTGCGTAAAACACTAGATCTTAGTAGATTTTCAAAAACCATGTTGTCCTATTGCAGTCTTGGGAAAATATTTGTCTAAGCCCTTCTTTGTTTTATCTTTTCAGTGTATTTGGGCACACGGTCTGCTAAATCTTAGTTCAGAACCCAGCGCTTGCCTGACACCACACCTCCCTCTAGTGCTTGACACAAATAAGACAAATACCTAGCATCTGAGCAAGCGAACATGAAGGCCTTTTGCTTTGAAGGTCCCAAAAAAGGAAGTTTCTTGGTTTGTTTGCTTGTTTTCCAAAAACAATTATTAGTAGGAAGCCAGCTCTCTCAGAGCTAAGATTTTTACGTCCTTCAAGTCTCCAATAGAGCATGTATCGGAGTATCATTTGGTTTGCAACAGAACACTACATAATTGTATACACACAAAAAGGCATAGTTAGTTTCTTCAATACCTTTGCGAATCCATAAGCTTATTTGTCAAAGACATTTAAAGAAGAATAAGTTCTTCAGTTTCAAAGTTTGACCCAGGGTTATTTGCATAATTTATATTACCAAATCCAACATTAAATCAAGAACATCTAGTAATTAATGTATTTTAACTATCTTGGTTTTGTATTCAATATTAAAGAATTATAGATACATTCAGAATAAATTAATTTAATCACGATCTAAGTTAAGAATGACAAGACCCCAGCAGAATTTAAATTTGTTTCTTGATTAGCTTGAAAGAGACTTGAATTGAGAAAATTCTTGCCTAAGATACCTGCCTGGAGAGATTTGCTCCTACTAGAAATGCTCCCACACTCTTGCTACTTAATGCACACAGATGATCTCATCTCATGTTTAGATCGTTATTTAAATATAATTTAACAAGATATCTGAAAATGTGGTAGCACAATGTTGATTAACCATTTCTAACAGAGCCAGGAGAGGAGATAGTACATGAAGGGGACAGAGGATCTGGTTAAAGGAAACCAAATGGTAACTTTCACTATAAAAAATGGTTATATTAACTTAGCCAGATATTGTCCAATTGCTGATGCCTTTTGCAGATTAAACACATCAATATTCATTAGATATAATACTAATATTGAGGAAGGAGTCATGGTAACACAACTCAGCCAGGAATATGAATTTGGAAGGTCAATAGCATCCTTCACAAACCATACAGGAAGTAACAGTACCTACTGCATAAAGTTAAAAAATGAATCATCAAAGCTGCACATATTCAGTATCTTAGAGATAAAATCACAAAGCAACACTTTCCGAAAATATAAGGACAAGGCCGGGTGCAGTGGCTCACACCTATAATCCCAGCACTTTGGGAGGCCGAGGTGAGAGGATTGCCTGAGCCAACGGGTTCGAGACCAGCCTGGGCAACTTGGTGAGACATCATCTCTACAATAAATCAAAAAATTAGCCAGGTGTGGTGGCGCGTGCCTGTAGTTCCAGCTACTTGGAAGGCTGAGGTAGAAGGATCACCTGAGCCCAGCAGGTCAAGGCTGTGGTGGCCTGGAGTGTGCCACTGCCCTCCAACCTGGGTGACAGAGTGAGACTCCTACGCAAAAAAAAAAAAAGAAAAGAAAATATAAGAACAGAATCATAATCGCTGCACTTTACGGCTTGATGATGTTATTTCTGATACTATATAGTACTAGCTTCTCTTAGTACCTCAAATTTTCTCATATGAGAACACACTTCCTTCAACCATCTGTCTGTTACTCTGGCAATTTATAAGATAGAGAAATTTAATTAGAAAGTACTTGGGATAACCGGAACTGATTAAGTTTGGGACATTTTACTAGGAATGAGGCACAAAGACAGAACCTTTGGAGTCAGTTCCCATGATGGAACTGTCAATGAGAGACAAGGCCCAAGAGAGAATGAAATTCAAACCAGTACAGAAGACATGAAGATGGTCTCCCACATTCCCTCTGCAAGGTAGGACTTTCTGTCCAGCTACAGGGAGTACAGTTAGCAGACTGCCTCCACTGACAGCTACATCTGAGTCTGCCCCAGCTGCAATATCACGCCTTCCTAGGTGATCTAGTGAATCTAGTGAATAAATAACAAGAGAGTAAAAGGCAGAGTCATTTCAGTCTAATGTGGAACAACCTGAAGACATTTCTCATCCAGAGCTTCCTGTTAGGTTGACTGAGGCTGAATGGGGCCTGCACTGCAGTTTGGCCTCCACCTCTGCCCAATCCTGCCATCTCACCCTTCCTTTCATAGGGGTTGATCCCTTGAATCCCAAATGCCATCTCAGCATCTGCTTCTGGAGGACCCAACCTCAGAAACTGGTAATCCACAGGCACAAAAAGAGGAGATGGCAGAACATGCGTATGTTCATCTATCATTTGAGCTGTCTATCACTTCATGGTTCCTCTCATGTTTTTTATTTTTGTGTTGCTGAAGGCCACGTTGTAATTCTACCCACTTTTTTTTCATTGTCTCTATCAGTAAAAGTTCTATACCAGGAAGCAGATGGACATTCAGTTTTGAGGGGATGGCACTCCTCAATGATTGAGAAGAATTTAATGAAAGGACTATTTACAAAGGTGTGGGCAGGGTTAAGGGAAACCCACACAATAAGTAACATCCCAAGGCATGAAGGAGTGGTAACCCCTGCCTGGAGAGAACTGTAGAAGAGAGCTGCCCAACAGGAGCTTGAAATCTTCAGTAAAGGAACACAGTCAAGAGAACCTCACTCTACTCTTACCTTCTTAATCTCCAGATGGTGCCTTCCAATGACCAAACCCTGTCAAATGCCAGCAAATGAAAGAACCTATGAAGCAGTCCTCAGAGTCTATGCTCCGAGGATAGAGAGCAGAATGGCAAAGAGTGAAGAGTGGATTAGGAGGAGTAAAAACAAAAAAGAGAGAACACCACCACACACAGTCAACGTTCCTTTACTAGGTGTTTTGCAACAATAGCATGCAATATTCTGTACATCCAAGATGATATGTGTGTGACAATTGCTGATCAGAGAACCAAATCGATTAGTCTCATCAATAGTTAGGAAAGAAAAACTAATGTTTGTTGAGTGCCAACTTTGAGCCGGTGAGCTTAATATTTCACATACAAATCTCATCTTCCAGGATAGGTGTTATTTGTTGACTTTCCATGATGTGGTCAGGCATTCTTCTAGGGATTGGAGATACAAGAGTGAACAGGACAAAGTCCCTGCTCTCATGGACCTTGCATGCTAATGAAGGGAGACAGGCAAGAGCAAGTACACAAATGAACAAGATAACTTCAAGTAGTGATAAGTTATTATGGAGAAAAATGTCTACTTAGATAAGGTTGTCAGGGAAGACATTGCTGGAGAGTGACATCTGAGTTAAGATGGGGGAGTGGGGAGACAGAATATTCTGTGCAGAGGGAAGAATTAATGAGGTCATGCTTCACTGCCTGACACTTCACTGCCCCATATTTAAAGGAAAAATGAAGGAGGCATACAGAAGCATTCCAATGTGTCAGGAACATGGCCTTGAGGTGGAAATTAACTTGGCCTGTATATTCAAGAAAGGCAGGTGAAGAGTGATAAGAGATGGAGTAGGAGACACTGACAGAACTCCAATTAAACAGGGATTTTTGGCCGTGAAAGTATGGAGTGTGAGTTTTATACTAAGTACAATGGGAAACCACAGGAAGTTTTAAGGAAGGGAGTAATACAATTTGTGTTTTTATCACACAACTTTGCTTTTTGTCCTTTGCTAACTCCTACTTATCCTTCTGGTCTTTTAGGTTAAATCACTTAATAAATATATCACTAA